CCCTGAAACGCCCCTGCTGCCCATGACACCCGCCAGGTCACTCCAGTTCCCATGCACAGGCAGCTCCGTGGTTGACCCTGCTATGTTACTTGGCTCCCTAAGAGGCTGCTCGTGGTTAAACGAGAGGAATTACAGATATTTCTGATCACTGCCAACCAAACAGAAATTCCAGCTCTCTCTACCATACTTACAGCAAACCTGTACCTCTCAACTGCACACATTCAGGGGTATTTTATGTTTGTTTGATTTTCTTGAGAAGCTCCTGGCCAATCCTGGTTCGCCAGGCCCAGCAACACTTACCGGTACTGAAACACCGCGTGCTGCTTGGAGCAGGAGGGGTGGTCGATGGGAATGTCCGCGATCCTGCGGTGCCTGCCCAGCAGATACGCGCTCTGCCTGTGAATGTACATGACCGGGAGGAACTCGTCGTTTTTGAAAGGGTAGAGGCGCCACCGCTTCTTGGGAATGCGAGCTTCAGGGGGCTCACTGTACTTAATGACAACGCCTCGGAAAGTGTTGGTGTCCTCCAGAAGCGCACCGGACAGTTCAAAGCTCGGCTTCTCTTTGTTTACAGCAGCTTTTTCTTTGGCTTTGTTATCAGACTGCCCGAGTTCGGGATTCTGGCCGACACCACTGCCTTCGTTAGTTTGCCGATGCTCTCGGCGTCTCTCGTTGTAAAACTCCCTCTCTGCCTGCTGCTCGCGGATGTTCTGCGCGTCCCTCTCTCGCTCGTGGCCTCGAGCGCCAGGCCTCTCGTTTGGATTCCTCCGTCTGTCCGAGTGGTCTCTGTGCCTGTCTCTGTCACTGCTTCTCTCTCTCCTGTGTTCCTGTTCTGATGGGTATCTCTGCTTTCGCTCCTCGTTTCCTCGACGACAATGATCATCTCGCTCCTGTAACGAAGAATCGCTCACAGTGACGGATTTGGAATGAGAGAGCAGCGACTCTGCCTCAGCTTTTGAGAGAGCCACAGTCCAGCACATGAAAACACGTACTCAGACGCGTTGTGTGCAGATCCAACACAAAGCAAGACAAACATATTTCCTTGCCAAAGCTATCCAGATTTCTACAATTTGCACTGAATAAAGCAAACCCAAGAAACAGCGCGATGCGTCACCTGCTCTGGGCACACGAAGGAGCTCAGGGATGGTCTGTGTAAGTGGCACAGGCCGGGCTCTCACACACACGGGGACACCCGGG